AAAAACCAGTATCAAAACTGCATTTCCACAACTTTTCCACATTGTTTTACTGAATTTAAAAAATAAAATAACAACTCATAATAAACTTGTTCCATTATTCCTAAATACTGTTAGTATGTAATTAGTAAGTTTCTTCTGTTATTGTGAGTAGTAGCCTTTTGAAAAATAAAATATTCAGGGTCTAGTTCTGAGAAATACCGAGAACGCTGAATCATTTAACAACAAATGAACTTTGCTGAATAATCGCAGAAATAATATATTATTCAACGACTTGGGAGCTAGGGTAAGGCCCAAGAGAATACATCTGAATATTGAATACAGTGCGTGTAGTTCAGGAAGCAATATATATATATATATATATATATATATATATATATATATATTAATTGTTTAATATGAACAAAACAGTACTCAGATTTGTTTAACAACTTTATTTTATGATTACAGACGTTTCGAGACCATGGTGTGTCTCATCTTCAGTGTAATTTCAAAAACAGTTACTTATATACTACATATTCTTTAATAATTTATTTAAATTTCATTTAATTTTTGATATACAAAAAACACCAACTATTCCTTGCAATGCTTGACACAGTACTAAAGAAACATATAACACTTACAGAAATATTCTAAACAATATGTTATATGTTTCTTTAGTACTGTGTCAAGCATTGCAAGGAATAGTTGGTGTTTTTTGTATATCAAAAATTAAATGAAATTTAAATAAATTATTAAAGAATGTGTAGTATATAAGTAACTGTTTTAGAAATTACACTGAAGATGAGACACACCATGGTCTCGAAACGTCTGTAATCATAAAATAAAGTTGTGTTAAACAAATCTGAGTGCTGTTTTGTTCATATTAAACAATTAATATTCGTTCCACTCATATCATAAAATTCTATATATATATATATATATATATATATATATATATATATAATAAACAAACAATGTGCCTAAATACTACGTATTTAAAATTGTACATTTTCCAGAACAATATGTGTCTCATCAATAATCTAAAAACAGTTATAGATTTTTTTTGGTTTGAATTGTAGAATTAATTGAATATTTTAATGTTTCTGAATTCTGCGAATCAAAATCATGTTTACTTCATCATTTACTTATAAGTATTGAATAAGAATATATCTGTACTAGGCAGTCCTTATAATTATATCAATTACTACTGAATGCAATAACTGACATTGCAAATCATTTACCAAGAGTTATTTGGTATCCTTGACATAGTCTAATAGAATGATACAAATATTGAAGTATGGAAAAGCAATATATCTCAATTGAAAAAGCAAATAAATGAAGGTAGACTGTGCAAACACCAACCAAAGTAAGTAATTGCTGCATTTGCAATGAAAAGAAAATCAGTTAATAGAAATAACATTTCAAACAAATATGTCGACATAAAGGAAATAAATTACTAGATCCAACCATGATGAAAAAAATTGTCATAAGTACTAAAAAATCAGGAAAAGTAATGTTTCTCTCAAGCACTAATTAGTTGTATAGCGTGACCTGTACTGAATACAGAAATTTACAAAAAATATAAATATACATTATACATCAATTACGACAGTGACAAATTGAGATACAGAATTCCATCATTTAAAAAAATTTGAAAAGAAGAACATAATATTATTAAACTGTACTTATTGTATTTAGAATTTGATTTTGTTGTTATCTTGATGAAAAGTTAATTTAATTCAATGTACTATAACAATATTGTGCAAAAACGTAACATATAGAAAAGGAACTATTCTGGAACGACTGTCATTCAATTGATAAAACAAAGCTGAAGAAAATCTACGTTTGCAGTTTTCAATACAAGTCACAAATACGCACACAAAGTGTACTTTGTAATACACTTGTGTACAAATGTAATACTTTAGAAAAAACATGATTTACCACTATCCTAATTTTACGTAAAATGGTCTGGGTATAGATCAGTCTGCTTGCCTTAAAAAATCGAAAGTTCAAGATTTCTAATTATTGATTTAGTTACGCGAATATATTGGGATACAAACATTCAGAGTTCCAAAAGAATAAAAATACTAATAATTTTTTGTAATTATATCCCTAGTAACAAAATACTATTAAAAAACTATATAATACAAATTACCATCTTTCACAAAATAAGCTAAAGGCTATAATTTGATCTGCTCATCTTCGAAAAATCGAAAGTTCATGATTCACTCCAATATTGATTTAGTCAAGCAAATAGATTGGGATACAAATATTCAAAGTCCCAAAATAATAAAAATTGTGATTTTTTGCAATTATAGCACTATCAACAAAATACTATTAAAGAATATAATACAAATTACCATATTTCACAAAATAGGCTAAAGACTATGAAGATTCCTAATTGTTGATTTAGTCCCAAAAGAATAAAAGTTATGTCTTTTTGTAATTATAGCACCAGCAACAAAATACTCTTAAACCATATAATACAAATTACTATCTTTCGCAAAATAGGCTAAAGGGCAAACCCACTAAACCTTTAAGAAAGACGACTCCATTTTCCGCTAGAAATGTCAAGCCTAAAGACAGAATCAGAGAAGCAATTTTCTTCCTAATCTATGTAGGATGGATGCTGATAAAACTAACACATCACTAGGCAAATGGAATTTAAATTTAATTTCAGATAAATTGAAACACATATTGGAAACGATAGAGCCTTATAATGATGAAAATTCCAGAATTTCGATTTGAAATTTAAGTGGTAAATTTATAAATATTGAATTTGTTATACAATACATAAAATTTATATTAAAATTTTTTAATATTTTTCTTTTTATTTTTTTTTCATGTTTATCATATTTTTGTGCAAGAATTTGTTGAAAATTCAAGTAAATTAAGACTTTTAAATAATTACTATAATTGCATAACAACGTAGGTAAAAATAATATTTCTATTACAAGATTGATATCAAATATCTTGGATATCATTCATATTTTTATTTTTCTTTAATTTTTTATGAGTTTTTAATTACAATCATCATAAATTAGCGATCTCTGCTGAAATTATCGTCAAGTAAACTGACGAAATCCTTGTATCCATGTAAGGAACACAATTTTACCCTGAGGTTACATATGTCCGAACTAATGGTTTTCGTTCATCCGTCCTTTACTTAGGATTAATTTAAACTATGTCAACGTCTTTCAGGGTACATAATCTAACTTAAGATCCCCATGTCCATATATTTGTGACAACAAACACTAATATAACCAGCACATGTGGGCTGGAAGTGGAAGTTGGATAAGTTCGTAAATGTCTGGAATAATTGCAATATAAATACAAATGTAGTAGCTAGAGATCTATATATAGAGTAATTAATAATTTAGTTTCACTAACGCACTCCTTACTTTTGCACAAAATATATATACACAAAACATATCAAGTGCATTCATATTAAAACGTTTTTGTATGTTTTAGAATTGCACCGTATGAAATGTCTTCATCACCTTATTTATTTAATTTGTTTCAAGAACTTCCCTTATTTCGTTTCGAAGAAAACAGACTGATTGAGTTTATTGAATTCAAGCTAAAAATAGTTCTTCCTTATAAATATAAAATGTGTGCCTCAAGTTATGTGAACTTACATGGAAGATGCTCCATAAATTCATTATGGAACTTTATAAATAACACAAATAAGAAGGAAGTGCTTCTATATAAAGTGAAGCAGGTAATGCTAGTAGGCGGTGAAATGGATTTGCACTATTTATTAGGACTCTGATAAAACACTGATGTATTGATATAGAATTCGTGGGTTTCATAAAAATATTGACATAAAAACTATCTACTATTTTTTATCTTGTAATAAAATATACAAAAAAATTACACCTACATCTATTACAACAATAGAGATCGATTGTTGTTTATAATCACATCTTGTGTTCTATTTGATGCATAATCCTAATGAATGGTAATTGGGAATTGCACATGTGAGCAATTGCTGCAATCAAATGCAATTAGCAAAGGTATTAGATTCCAAAGCTCATTGTAACATCGCAATTATACTATATCATACCGCAAACGATATATAATTTCCACAGGAAATAGTAAAACATCATATCGGTACCAAAATATGATTAAAAATGTGTTAAAGTAAAAACATAAAAAACTATTTTTATGCTGTCAGAGATTTTAACAAATTAGTTTAAAATTAATAAAATCCATGATGAAGTTCACCCATATTTCTAATCAGCACCCATGAGTAACATATCAATTGTCGGGTTTTCACTTAATAGTTTCTGAATACAACTGTCAAGTACACATCGCAGCCGATCCCGATAACATTCTGACTGTTTAGAGAAACTAAATTAATTAATTCATACAAAAGCCAGAAGTCTAGATTTAGCTCATTTCGAACATGTACCACGTTTGCTAAAGTTTCATAATGCTAATGAAGTTCATTAGAGTTACTGTTGCAGTTGAATTTAAATTGAATCTATATCGGGATAAGGCGAAACTGAGATTTCAAGATATGAAATTGAGTATTCATAAATGCAAATGTTGTTACAAGTTTTACATTTGTGGGTTCTGATATGTATATTTACACACGTCCACCTACCCAAACACGCACGCATTATATATATATATATATATATATATATATATATATATTTATAATTGTATGAATTTTCAAGCATTTATAAAAGCAAAAAATGCAGAAATTGAAGTATTAAAAAGATTCGAGAAGTCTTGCATATGTAATTAAATCTTTGAGAAAAAGCTTTTTCACTGATAATATTGTATGCCTATAAATATTATGAATCTAACTTCATGTTAAACATAACAATGTTATATTATTAAAAAATATTCTATGTTTCATAAAAATTTTAAATTAATTTACAAAGCCTAACATCTATATCTATTCTATTAAACCAAAATACGGTGGAGCGATCGAGTACAATCGGGCACAACCAAAGCATAATACAACAAACTTTCATCGTAATAATTAAATGATTATTTCTATCACTTACCGAGGCATTTTTCGCATAAAACAGAGTGTGTCCTTTCAGCCTAAAATATCGCCTTCTCCATCGTTGCAAGGACCAGGTCTGCTTCATGAGAAATCCCTCTCTGGTTGCGGCCTGCCGGAAATTAACAGAAATCCTTGTAATACAGAAATGTGACAAGAATATTTAAATTGGAGTTGACAGTATCGTAATGAAATATCTTGGGCATGAAAAGCATTTGAAGATAGTCTATAATGGGCTTAATTCAATCAGTTTCAGAAGATAACAATCTTGATATCGATATAATATGACAAAAGCTCTATTAAGTTGAACTAATTTATTTGAAAATTTTTCTTGAGAATTTTTAGAATCCTTTACATATATTGTATAAGTCTTAACACAATATGAAAATGAATAATCCAAGGTAACGAACGTATTTAATCCTCTTACACTCTGCTCTGTCAAATTGAATACTTTGGTGTCATGCAGACTAAAGAGAATGTGTACTTAATCTCTTGGGATTTACAACACGATTTCTGAATTCTCAGTTCAAAAGATTCATTACACACAGCAACAAAATTGTATTTTAATACTCAACCGAAGTAGAAATTAAAATTAAATGATTAAGATTATTATCACTGTAATTCCGCGATTAAATAAGATTAAGAAAACATAAATACACTATCCTGAGTCTTAAATGAATGAGAATAATACTTGTTTTACTTTAAAATTCCGAAGCATATATTTGACAGTTTTATAAATCTATTAAATTTAATATACGTTCTTCAGCCATAAATTTCCTATTATATTTTTACGACGATAATGTGCCATAAAGCTTACCTTGCGTTAAATAAATGCAAACAAATGTTTTCAAAATTTTATGACTCGCTTTTTATAATCAAGTAACTCCAAAAATAACTAATATTATATTACGATTACATTATATTTAATGTTTTATATCAACAAAGGTGCAAAAATTAAATAAAAGACGCAATCTTCAATTTGTATATTGAATACTTGACCTAGTTCGAAAATATTTTGATTTAGTTTGATAAACATTATTTAGTATTATATAAATGTTTCAGAGCTTAACATAAAGCATTAGCGTCAAACGTGATGTTCTACGCAAATATCTATTTAAAAAATAAAAAATAAATATTTATACTCTTTAGAAGTATTTTGATACTAAATATTTATCAAGATAATATATTAGGCAATCTCAAAAATTTAGGCGCACTTTTTGAACAGTACATAGATTTTGTTGTGAATAGAAAAATAAAATATATTGCAATTTGTTGAACTTATTTTTATAACTAATGTAAACCTAAACTAAAAGTATACTGACAAAAGATATATATCGAAGGGTTTTTGGTTTTATTTAGACAATTGTTTATATATTTGACTAATAAAACGTAGTATTAATATTAATTATGTCTATTGAAAGATGTTTTTAGAATCGGGAAAACCTACTTTCTGGCTGAATTAAAGAAATTTCTAAAATGTTTAACAAACGTTGTCATAGCATCTTCGTTGATATCGATGAAGCAATTTAATAATTGTGAAATCTGTGGATTTTTTTTAAATCGATAAATGATAAAGGGATCTATCATTATGGATTTGTATAGAAATCTCAACTATATTCATTAATAACAATATAATTAATAGTTTACAAAAACAGAATTAATAACGCCAAAGTTCGAAATATTAAGCAAATTGACTCTAAGGGTACTTTGTTTATTCATGTAAAGATCAACGAAATATTTTTTTAAATTGATTATTCAAATTGAAATTATTTGGCAGAAGATACATGCGCCATCTCCAAAAGCTTCTATGTAACTATATGTTATTCAGCATCGATAATACAGAGTACGGAAGCCAAAGCAAATATCGCATAAAAGCGAAACTGTAGGTGAAATTCTTTGATAAAGATATTCAATATTCGCACCATAACTTTAAAGGTGAAAGCTCTCAAGCTTTCGTGCTTTTCGGCTTTCCGAATATTTACATTGCACACTACATGCTACCGGACACAGAGCAAATAGGAATACAATTCCATAAATGAAAGCAAATATTTTAATGCATTTTTGTGTCAAAGTGTCATTATTAATTTCATAATTACTTAATTACTATTAGAAAGGAATTATTAATTTTATCCTACATTTGCTTATTATCATTTATTTATTTTTGTATATATATTGAGCAACGATCCGATGAATAAAATAAGAGAAAAACAAGAATTACATTAAGTTTTACAAACATGATCAAAAGGAAAATAAAAAAATTGAAGACGAAAAAGATGGAAAAGATATTTAAAGATATTTTGAATATAAGGCATATTAATGTATAATGAAATAGATATAAATGATATGTATGTATAAAATATAAAAATTGCTTAATAATCTCTTAAACCAAGCACCAATGCCTGACTGAGATATGAAAATAATTTATTAATAAAAAAAATTAAAGTGGACCTATTGAATAGCAAATCATTTTCCGGTACATTTTTTTCCAAATTATTAGACTTTCTAGCCTCGTGATTGACCTATATTATTTATTTCTCCTTATTTAGCTATGATTTTTCCCGGTAACCTTCGCATTACTTCTGCCTTATGGGTCTTTTACATAACATACAATGTATTATATTTTATGAGGGATCATTTTCTATCAAGTTGCTTCCCACATGAACGATGTTTCCGGGATATATAATAATCTTTATGTTCTGTTGCTTGTTACAAAGTTTTCAGATGAAATTTTGCATGTACTTCATTCTGTGTGCACGTTCGTTTAATTAAAATGATTTAAAACTTATAATATTAATTAAAATTAAAATAGTTTCGTGGTGATGGAGTAAGAAAGCGGGTTGTTTGGAAGTTGTGTGTTTTTGTTTTACATGGTAATATAAGCTAATTAATCATTTTATGGGTAAATAAAAGTGAATGTGAAAAGCAGTAATTTATAATTTAAGTAACTCGCATGTTATTTTAGTATTTTACTTATTTCAAATTAATAGTAATTTTTACACATAATTATGTTAGCTTTGTTCGTCGAGTAATTAGAAATAAGATGTATTAATAGATCTTATTTTAATTACTCGTTTATTGTCTCTAATTACACTCTCTATATTATAGAGTCTATAATATTAATCTCTATATGGCACTATTTGTCTCTCACAATATATAATCTACTCATCCACATTATTCTTCTGTTATTCTGTTCGTATGCTATTTATGTCAACAAATTATAATATTAAAATTCAAACAATAGAACTTGAGGATAAAATTTTTAAAATTAATAATTTTTTACAATTAACCACTTATTTCAAACCAATAACAATTTAGGATAATTGTTTGTGTGAACTAGAAATAGTTTGAGTTAACGTTACACCATGAAGTCTATAACTGTGCAAAGTTTCAAAAATTTTGTACAACTATATAATTTAAAACTTACCGGCCAACATTTGCCAAAAAATGATCAGCACATTCTCAACTGATATATCAAACAGCATTTGCCTTTCAAAATGGGTTCAGGATTTTTGGCAAAAATTAATGCACTTAATAAAATTATGAACAAACTCGACTGATGGTATCATAAAGCTCATCAACAAGACACCTTTACGAAATTTCATTAAAAGGCTTTAAAATTTTAGAATTCGAGTTTTTCGCAATTGTAGTATTATACGAATCAGAATGACATAAATCGTAGAGAAGACATAAAATTGGAAAATCGTTTTTTCTGGATAAATCATGAACTCAGTCAAAAGGCTACAATCCAGAATTTTGGCATTGGTCACAAAATATATTGTTTGGCTTTATAATATTCTTTTCTCCAATTTTGAAGCTTTAGCTTTAGTAATGGACAGCAAATAAATATATAGGATATTTCAGATGATGTCAAAAATATGAAAATACCCAAATCCTCAATTTCCCTCGATCTATCATCGCCCTGCAACCTCTTCTACATCAATCACGAACGATTTCTATTGAATGCCATCCTTTGTACTAAACAAGATGAGGCAATATGAAAGGTTTTTGTCATTTATCATACAGCCACGTTCATTTTATCATCTTGGCCAATATTCGAACATACATTTTATTCGAAAGACGATATTTTATTACAGAATTCTCACAAATCATTTTCGAAACTCACACACACCAGAAGCAAGTAAATTGTTGCAGCAATAATAAATAATAATTCTGATGGCAGAAAAAGTTTTCGTAAATATTATTGAAAAAATAAATTTATGTTTGGAAACGATGTGTAAATATTTGCATATGTAATTCTGGGAAATATATACTGGATATCGGTAGAAACGGATGTTTAAAATTTTGTGGAGTCGTTATAAATATAGAGATCTACAGGTTGTAAAAAAAATTAATAGACATATGTAAAAATTGTAAGACATTTAATTTATTGAATATTGAAGTGAAAAATATTTAATACCAGAATAAATTTTGGAGATACTTATATTAGAAAAATGGAAATAATTTTTTTTAGTTTAAGTTGTTTTTTTCCTAAATAAATCTATAATTTTCTATAGTTATGGTCACACAATCTCTTTTTTCTATGATTTACCTCTGAAATAAATGAGTTATTATGCACAGTCTCATAAAAAGATGTATTCGAATAAAATTTGTTCAAGCATGAGATGAAAATAAATAATTATTAAAATTTCTTACATTTCACATGTGTGCAAAAATCCCTCAATATTTATTCATTAAATTTTATAGTCCGTCAATGTACATTAAGATTGAAAGAAAGAGTAAAAAATATTAATAATCTCAGAAATCTTCCCAAATAAATTGATATATAAACATTATCTAAATTTTTATCTTAAATTATGTTATTTAAATCTGTTTAGTCTATTCCAATGCATTTATTATTAGTCTAAAATACCGCTTTATAAATGTTTGCATAACATTTCAGCAAAATCGTAAAAGCGCTCGTAAATAATCACCCGAGATCTCTTTACCGAAAATCACTCGTTGAATTTGATTATCTTTTCAGATAAAAAATGTATTGTTTAAAGTATCAACATCGTAACATAAAAGATCGTTTATGTTATTGGCTTACGAGAAAACATATAAATTTTCCTTAATTACGGTTTTCCACTAAAGAGAAGCCCGATAAATCAGCCG